TAAGTACTATGAAGACATCAGTGTACTACTACAAACACTAAATACCAACCTAATATTCATTATTCTTACAAAAACATTTGTAAAGCAGTATATCATCCATAACCACAGACCTGAACACAAGGGAGGTGGAACAGCAGTCTACTGTGCTCATGATACCTGAACACAAGGGAGGTGGAACAGCAGTCTACTGTGCTCATGATACCTGAACACAAGGGAGGTGGAACAGCAGTCTACTGTACTCATGATACCTGAACACAAGGGAGGTGGAACAGCAGTCTACTGTGCTCATGATACCTGAACACAAGGGAGGTGGAACAGTAGTCTACTGTACTCATGATACCTGAACACAAGGGAGGTGGAACAGCAGTCTACTGTACTCATGATACCTGAAACAAAAAATAGATGGAACGGCGGTTTACTGTACTCATGATATAAAATGCATTACAGCTATATGTACGATACCATCTCTGGTATCGTACATATCACAACCAGATACCTAAAGACCCTTATCATAACATGTACAGTCTAGAGATCTCATGTTAATGGAAGGTATGACGACAGTCTCAAAGACTTAATCTGCACCAGATAACAAGAAGGATCAACTAATAATTGAAGACTTCGATATCAATCTCATCCAGTCTAAATATTCACAAGAAGCTGTGTTCCCAGATCTGTGTACTTCCTGCGGTAGGTTAGGTTAGGTAAGATGTGTCAGGAAACAGGACAAGTGTTTCCTAACGTGGGTCTCAGTCACATGATGACCCACAGGTGGAGCTTTTGGTCATCTGACTGAGGCCTTCCACTGGCTTACTCTCCACCCATTTCAAGCTACTTTCCTACATTGTATGAGAGAATCTGACTACGAGACTCTCTCGCTGAGAAGTCTCACTGACTCATTGCGAGATTCTTTCACTGTCTCCCGAAGTCTCTGTGACCCAGCAGGCTGTTGTTGCATTTCCTGGTAAAGCGTCTATAAATGTATATTTTCTATGTCATGGCCAAATCTCCCATTCCCTCAAAGCACCGGCTACTTCCTCACTCGAGCGACAACAAAAGAGTACATGTACTCACCTACACATGGGTTCACTCTTTCCTGGCTGCGTGGACCCTGTCATACCTCTTCTTAATACTGTGTATGGATCCTAGCCATTTCCTGCCCACTCTGAGACTGAAGAAGTATTTCCTGACATCACTGTGACTCAATTTTGCTTTTGTTTTCTAACTTTTAGTTGTGACCTCGTGTACCTGATTCCCGCCTCTCGAAGAGTCTGCAGGAATATACTCTATATACCTTTCAGTTCCCAGGAAGATGCATACTCTTCAGGATTCATACTAAGATGTATACATATCTTTATGTATACACACTGAGAGATATACACATCCCTGCGTGAGAGATATACACATCCCTGCGTATACACTGAGAGATATACACATTTTTATATATACTAGTAAATATACACCACTCTACATAAATCAAGAAATACACATCTGTAAGTTTATATATATACTGTTAATGTTAGGGGTGTTAATGTTGCAGTTTAAAAACTGTAGTGTAAAGCACCCTTCTGGCAAGACAGTGATGGAGTGAATGATGGTGAAAGTTTTTCTTTTTCGGGCCACCCTGCCTTGGTGGGAATCGGCCAGTGTGATAATAATAATAATATATATATATATATATATATATATATATATATATATATATATATATATATATATATATATATATAATATATATATATATATATAATATATATATACTAATTAAAACTATAATTAATATATACAGATATATAACATTATATATAGAATATAATACACTGACTGACAACTCCAGAGTAAATACAGATACACCATATATTGGACATCTATACTCGACTGACCCAGAACAAACATTATCTGGCTCTAGCGTCGCCTCAACAACAAACACCAACGATCATAAACTAACCATACTTACCCCGCTGCCTCGAACCCCATCATTAGCATTTAGGAAGTAAATATAGTTAAGTACTGCTCCTGGGTCATGCTAATATCTCTTTAATGCTTTTTGAAGACGGATTTTAACCTTGTAGGTTTGTGGCGTGAGGCAGTTCCCTGGTTAATTAACTATTACAACATCACACGATTGTCTATTTCAATGTTTTCTTTGGATTCTATGTGTAAAAAAACTCTTTTTCTATCTATTGACAACATTTTTTTATTGAAAATTTCGATTCCGGTTTCTTTCTTGGACCCCAATAGAAATAAGTCACTTTTTCCGACTTTTTTTTTTGGATCTTCTTGGTAATTTACATTATGAATGATAACAGTACTTATGTGTACCTGTACTCAAACTAACTTACCATCTCCCAGGAAGGTAGAATGTTGCCGAGAACGAAACACATTCACCATCATTCACCCAATAGCTGTTTTCTTATGTTAATGGTATATGTTACAGGTAAGTAGAAGAGCAAGGCGCATGTAATAACAGTTGGGTATGTTGACTTCTGAAGCTTTTGGTTTGCTCAGTAGGTTTCTTCAGTCTGATACAGAGTCATTGGAGAGGTAGGTGTGAGGTGATCAGTCCCTAAGTCTTGAAGAAGTAGTTTTGAGGTGGTTGGTCCCTCAGACTTGACAAGGCTATGGAGGCGAGCATGTATCAAGGCTGAGGGAATGATCACCTCATATATACCTCTCCATTACTTCTGCTGTCTCAGCTATGTAAGTCACCTCCATATTTGACTGAAGAAACCAAGTGAGCAGGAGAAACGTTTGGTCAACAAAGATACCTAAGTGCTGTACATACGTTACTCACTCACCTCACTGTCTGGTCAGAAGTATTCAGAAACCACGACTCAGACGACCCTCCGAACTGCAACATCACCACCCTCCTGCAGAGTGCAGGCACTCTACAGTGATAATACCAGAGTGAAGTGTGCCACACCTACGGCAGACAGTGCCACAGGTGTTAGAGGGAAACTTTCACTATTGGCCCAACACTGCTGGCACCATCATGTGCAAGAAGAAGAAGAAGAAGAAGAAGAAGAAGAAGAAGAAGAAGAAGAAGAAGAAGAAGAAGAAGAAGAAGAAGAAGAAGAAGAAGAAGAAGAAGAAAAATCTCTTAGGCTCTTAGCCTGTAAACTGAGCTGTCCCGTGGCCTGGTAGGCAACACTCTCGCCTCACACACTGTGTTCGTGGTTCGATCCCTGGAAAGGGCGAAAACATTGGGAGTGTTTCCTTACACCGGTTGTCCCGTTCTCCTAGCAAGTAAGTACCTGGGTGTTAGTCAACTGGTGTGGGTCCCATCCTGGGGGGCAAGATTGAGGACCCTAATGGAAATAAGACAGACAGTCCCTGGATGATGCACTGAGTTTTTTGGGTTATCCCGGGTGGCTAACCCTCCGGGGTTAAAAATCCGAACATTGTGTTTCCTGTCTACAAAGTGGGAGACAAGTACCTTCCATCAATTTACCGCCCAGTCAGCCTGACTTTAATAGTGGGAAAGTTGTTAGAATCCATAACAGCATATGTAATTAGAAGCCATCTTGATGAGCATAATTTGATTAACGAGACTCAACACGGATTAACGAGGGGGCGACCATGCAGTGGTAGATGATTCTATTATTCCGAGAACTGCTGATATTTCGACTAATACATTTTTTGTGTATAATACACTGGTTGTCCCCCACCAACTTAATGTGACCCAAAAACAGAAAACACATTCACTGTCATTCATTCGCCTTGTCAGAATTGTGCTGACAACACAGTTCAGAAGACCCTCTAACCTGTAACATTCTAACCTTTCCTTCAGAGTGCAGGCACTGTACCTTCCACCTCGTATATGAATGGTATATCAACTCCAAGGCTGAGGGACTGATTACCTACTCTTTTGTATATAGTTCTTCTGTCTTCCAAGTATGTCTTGAATTTGTATTGATAAAGCCACTGGATGGCGAAACGTCTACAATAAAGATACCCAGATGTTGCACATGTGTCTAATTTTCATCTTCCACCTCCAAGACTGTGATATCCTCACCCATCCTTCAGAGTGCAGGCACTGTACTACCCATCTCCCGGACTGTAACATCCTAACTCCTACTTCAGAATGCAGGCACTGTACTTCCCTCTTCCAGGAGGAAAATACAGTGCCTGCATCTAACTGGTTCAGTTAACCGCTTTTACTGTATCCCGTCATAAATGTTACCTTACACTCCAACAGCACATCAAATCTCTAAAGCCCCTCGTCTCCACTAGCCCTGATCTAATACACTCACACAAGCCTGATAGATTTTCAAGCCCCTAGCAATAAAAACCTTGGTATTGTTATGAATAAAAGTATTACATTTGTTATTATCGTAACTTATAATGTAATTTGACTGTCAGAATTATTAAAGAGCAACATCAACAATAACATTAATAATAATAATAATAATAATAATAATAATAATAATAATAATAATAATAAATACCAGTAGGTATATAACGCCTCAGGTGCTGTTGGTTCCGGAGACCAAGATGACCGAGGTCGTATAAGTGGGTGTAGCCCATCTTTAATGACACCTTAAACGACTTGTCAAGGTCGCAGTACTAGCTCCAACACTCAAAAAACGACCCTTTCACGACGGCATTTATGGCGTGAATGTAACGTCAGACCGACTTAGGGGTTCTTTATTATCGAGTTCAGATTTGGATTCAGATAAGCTAATCAAATGCCCAATAAAAGTAAAAGAACAATTCTTTCCCGGGCATTGGGAGGAATAACCCGTCAGTGGCCCTATAGACCAACAACACTAATAGGTAAACAATCTTCATGAACGAGCCATCGTAACCCTTATAAACCAACAACAACAATAAATGTGGTAAGACACATAGGCAACAGTTAGGCATCTTTTTCCCGAAACGTTTCGCCTGCACAGCAGGCTTCTTCAGTCGAGTACAGAAAGTAGGCAGGAGCAGTAGAGATGTGAAGACGATGTAATCAGTCCATCACCCTCGGTATTGTAATACCATTTTAATATTCAACAATAAATGTAAACAAACGTCTAGATTGAGCCGCGTAGCCCTTATAAACCAAAAAAACCAACAAAAGCAACAATAAGTAAGCTATAACCTCACGGATGGTTTCCTCGCAGCGAAGGCTGTGCTAGAAAGGGAGAGAGGGAGAGGAGGGGTAGGGAGGGAAGGGAAATAGAGGGAAACCAACTGCTCTCACCGCCCTCTTCTCCACCCTTCACGCCCTGAAGGTGAAACTAAGCGAGGTCGGCAGTATATAAGAGCTGCCACTCACTAGTTCGGCATCACAGCTCAACCAGTACCATCACAGACAGTTACAAGATGACTGCTAAGGTGAGAAATGACACTTCACATCTTCCTCTTTCTGCATGACTGGCTCAAAATCTTCCTCACCTGATCCTGGTAGATCTTGCCTTTACCTCACACTCAAATTCCACTTGTCTTTCCTTCAAGTTGGTCTTTTCCTTCCCTCAAGTTGGGCTTTACCTCAAGTTAGGTTCCTTTTCTCTTTTTCTCAAGTTGGGCTTCTCTTTAACCTAAGGTGGGTTCCTCTTGTCTTTAACTCAAGATAAATTCCTTATTACCTCAAGTCGAGATCCTCTTCTCTGCATGTCACACTGGAATTGTCTTTGGAGTACAGTGTCTTCTAATAACTAGCAGACGGAGGGTCGAGTCTCCACCACTTGAGGCTAGGTGTGTACCTCTTGAAAACACTCAAACCAGGAGCCAGGAGGCCTAATAGAGAACTCAAATTCTTATATTTTTGGCTTATGTAAGGATTAGTGTTGCATGAGCCAGTAGGCCTATGGACTTTCATTGTATGACTCAGTAGGTTCATGGACTACTCTGTTGCATGAGCCAGCAGGCCTTCTACAAATCTCCTCTAATTTTTCTGTTCTTGTGTTCTGTGACAGACGTTAGTGCTGGGCACCATCGTGGCTTTGGCTTATGCCGCTCCTCGTGCCGAACCACCACCACCTAGCTATGGACCACCACCACCACCTACCTATGGACCACCACCTACCTATGGACCACCAAAGCCATCATACGGACCACCTGCGTACAAAGAGCCCGGCATGCCCTTCGACTTCACGTACGCCGTCAAAGACGACTACTCTGGCAATGACTTCTCCCACGATGAGAAGAGTGACGGCACACTCACAACTGGGTCGTACAGGGTGCTTCTGCCCGACGGTCGTACCCAAATAGTGACCTTTAGTGCTGACGACACCAAGGGATACGTCGCTGACGTAGCCTACGAGGGCCACGCATCCTACCCTGCACCACAGCCATCCTACGGTCCTCCTAAACCAACCTACGGACCTCCAACCTCAGCCCCATCCTACGGACCACCACCAACCCCATCCTACGGACCTCCACCAACCCCATCCTACGGACCTCCACCAACCCCATCCTACGGACCTCCACCAACCCCATCCTACGGACCTCCACCAACCCCATCCTACGGACCTCCACCATCTCCCTCCTACGGACCCCCATCCTATGCCTAAACCTCATAAAACCCCTTCCCCCTAACGAATGACGCTGCCCATTCTACGCCCACTAAATTTTCCCTCTGGTAGCAACACAGTTAAAATCAACGTTTCTGATGAACTTCGTGAGGACAATTTGGATACCACATTTAACCCCAACACTCCTCCTACTAGCCACCACCTTTAGTCCCAACACCCCTCCTATCCCTCTTATCCCTAAACCCTTCCTTCTTCATTATTTCAAGTTTCCTAGTGTCACGTATCCTGGCGGGCTAGACCTATCCCAGTCTGAACCTATCCCTTGCTATCCACAGCGGTACCAGAGTGGCAGACACTCCCCACCACACTGTTACCTAGCCGTGTGACTCCTTCCCGAGCAACCGTGTGCTTTTAAACGAATTCATCATTGGAAAAGCATTTAATTCGTTTAGAAAGAGACGATTGTATGAGGTGCAGTCATAACACGGTCCCGAGGTGCAGCCATGACACGGTCCCGAGGTGCAGCCATGACACGGTCCCGAGGTGCAGCCATGACACGGTCCCGAGGTGCAGCCATGAGGACTTATTGTAATGGTAGTAACTTATTATGTAAATAAAGGCAACATGAAATAAACAATTTATTATTACGTTCTCCCTTCATAGGAGGTGCCTAGATGCTGGTGAAGGGCTCATGATCTATGGAATTAGAGCTACATAGGAAAATATCTGGAAAGCTGTATAAATAACTGATGTATAGAGGAGAGAATGTATGTGTGACAACATAGTGCGGAGAAGCATCAGCAACCCTCATCAGCAGTGCTGTGTCTGAGTACTTGGCTTAATTCCGGTATCAGTACCATACATGGCTAGAAAAGGCTACAATTTATATAATGCAACATATATCGTTATTTAAGTTACATAGTTTTTAAAGAAACCTGTTTTTAACATAGCTTAAAACAGAGTAAACATTAGTCCACCACTGAATATACCCTTCTGCTTTTCTATCTTTGACTCACACTACTGGCTTTGGCCCAGTAGCTTAGGCACGTAGGTAATTGAACCTGCCTAGCATGGGCCAGTAGGCCTGCTGCAGTGCTCCTTCCTTATGTTATTATAATACACAATAGTACTTAACATAGACAGCAGTAGATAGTTCTTAGCAGGTATCCTCTGTCTCATGTACCGGGCAAACTCACGATATATGTTAGCTACGATATAATTGAAACTCGACTCACCCAAAACATAACAGGTGACAGTCATAGAGTGCATAAAGATCCTTGTATATACTACTACCATAAAGTAGTGTATATATATATATATATATATATATATATATATATATATATATATATATATATATATATATATATATATATACAATAGAGGAACACATCAAAATTCTAGTTAACAACAGTAATCGTCTCTCTGGAGGTGAGACTAGGTACGACGTTAATTATCTCTTGAAGTGGTAAGAGAGAAGCAGCTGGAACACTCGTCTGCTAGGAGTCTCTGTTCCTTAACCAGCTGTAGCACAAGGACCTTATTCCTAGGGAGACAGTAGGACGGTCTTCCTGGTTGCTACTGCTGGTGGCCAACGTTCTTCCTGCTATTCAGGATGTTGTCTCTCCTGGTCAGCACACTTGCGTCCACCAGCAATCTGCCACTAGACTGCTGAGCAGACAAGTACCTGCTCTGAAGAAAGATAAATTGATTCATCTTCACTCAGTCTGCATAACTGACATAAGTCAAGCATCGAAAAGAGAGCAAGAGAGAGCTGAGACAACTCACCCTTACAACCACTATCTCGGCTTCCTATTGTTCCATTATCACTGCCTGAATGTCTTAGTTCCCCCCTGTACACAACTGTCCACCAAGCATTTCTTTCAAGAAATCAGATGAAAATACTTTAGGCATCTCCACTAAAACAATAATCTAAATATATTAAAATTTGGATACGGCTCCCACATGGTTCTTAAAGCCTGTTATCCATGTTAATTATGGATATAAATAATAACAAAAACATTTCAAAATAGCAATGAAATTATATATATAAAATTACATTTAAAATCCGTTAAATAAGCCAATAAAAATTTAATGTCTTAGAGTATCTAAATAAAATAAGAGCAATTAATTCTACAATAATTTATGAAAGGAATTTGGATATTTATCCGAAAAGATGCGTAGATAAGTGCTGTGTGGAGGAGAGAATGTGTAGGAACCAGTGTGGTGAACCACCACCACCACAGCTACTCCATATTTTCCTAAATATTCATATATTAAATCAACACAGAAAACTATGTGTAGAAAATGCTGCAATTTACGTAATGCAACATGTATAGTTTATATAAGTTTTCCAGTTTATTATTAAAAATGGGATTTTTAACGTGGATATTAATTTTCCAGAACGCAGCAGAATCAGCAGCAGTCCTTCCCATGATCAGGTCCTCTAGTTATACTCTGTGTTGGCTACAATAATCTTATATTCACAAAGAGTGCATGCCAATAGTGTAAAGTTACCTGGGATGGTCAGAAAACATAATACAAACACTTGCAGATTTTTAACGCATTAAAACATCGCAGTATTTGCATTTTGGGTAAATTTCCAACAATTTGCTGATCTCCTTTAATATTTTTTACCAGTTTACCTGGAATAAGCTACAATATACAGCATGCTGGTATATATATCAGTATCAGTATACTGACATACATCACTAGATAATACAGTGACATACATCACACTGATGAGTTCCATCTCTCTCACCTGATGACATTCCTTGCTTTATTCTCTTAGTTTTTCTCTTTTTATTGCTGGCTCTCATACCACCTTTGTTCTATTGTTACAAGTAATGTTGCTCTAGCAGTTGCTGCTACTGTTACTGCTGTTACAGTTCAGGTTCATGCTACTGCTCCTGTTGCAGCTGCCGTTGTCGCCGCGCGCTGCTGCTTTTCTTATTGTTACTGTTGCTTATACTGTTCCTGCTGCCATAAAGCCATCCGTTGTATTTCCTGGTGTTCTTGTGACTGCTGTTGCTTGTTGAAGCAGCTGCTGTTTCTTTCTCCAGTGGTGCTTCAACCAGTGGAGAAAGGCAGTAGCAACACTCCATGTGTTTGTTGCTTCCAGTGGTTTTCCTTGTCTGGTAATGGTCTGAGATGCTTCCTCCTTCAGATTAATGGCCCGAAACCTGTCCTCCTTCACATTAATGGCCTGAGACCTGTTCTCTTTCACGTTAATGGTCTGAGACTCGTCTTCCCTCACGTTAATGGTCTCAAATTGGTCTTCCTTCACGAGGTCGCGCCAGAGTCGTGACATGACGTTCCTAATTGATCTGAAGAACAATCCTCTCAACAGGACCTGATATATTGATCCTTCTTACACCTTAACCTTTCACCCACGCTCCATTCTCTCTCTCTCTCTCTCTCTCTCTCTCTCTCTCTCTCTCTCTCTCTCTCATTCTCTTTTTCTTGATTATCCTTGTCTCATACGCCTAGATAATACACGATGGTCCTTAATCTAGACAGTCCTCTGCAGAGAACTGTGAACTTCCAAGTCCTCTCCCAGCGTTGCTAAAATAGCAACGCTCTTCTTACCGGATAAGGCAAACGAAAATTTGTGAATGCAGTAATTTTGCAAAAATCATTCTGAACCTAACGAAAAAAATATATTTCATTGTGTTTGTTTATTAAATTATTGCAAACTAAAATAAAACATATTGAGTTGGATTAGGCTAAATTAAATTGCGCTTGTTACAATAAGGTTAGGTAAGTTTTCTAAGATTCTTTTGGTACAAATTATTAGTTTTTACATTACATAAAGGAAAAAATATATATATTTAAACGTATAAGAGAAAATTTAAAAAAGGACTTAATTGTAAGTGAGTTCTTGCTAAGTGACCAGTTTTATATATACGGCACGGTGTATATATATATATATATATATATATATATATATATATATATATATATATATATATATATATATATATATATATATATATATATATATATATATATATTGAGGAGAGCCGCCACCTTGGTGGTCAACCAGTGCCCCACTGCCTCCACAAGCACACAACAACTAAGCCAAATATTACCACAGAACTGCCACTCTTCCAAACAATTGTTCTTGCATTGTGCAACGTTATTAATATCACCGATTTAGGGAAAGGTTATAGGAACTGAGAGAGTGTTGCAACTAGTGTTGCCCCAGGCGCATACCTGTCTCACCAACATTGTAAGTCACACTTATTGCACACATACCTGTCTCACCAACATTGTAAGTCACACTTATTGCACACATACCTACAACAACAACAACAAGAACAAGAACAAGAAGAACAAGATCAAGAACAAGAACAAGATCAAGAAGAACAAGATCAAGATCAAGAACAAGAAGAACAAGAACAAGAACAAGATCAAGAACAAGAAGAACAAGAGCAAGAACAAGAACAACAAGAACAAGAGGAACAAGATCAAGAACAAGAACAAGAACAATAACAAGATCAAGAACAAGAACAAGAAGAACAAGAACAAGAACAACAAGAACAAGAGGAACAAGATCAAGAACAAGAAGAACAAGATCAAGAACAAGAACAAGAAGAACAAGAACAAGATCAAGAACAAGAAGAACAAGAACAAGAACAAGAAGAACAAGAACATGATCAAGAACAAGAACAAGAACATGATCAAGAACAAGAACAAGAAGAACAAGAGCAAGAACAAGAACAAGAACATGATCAAGAAGAAGAACAAGAAGAACAAGAGCAAGAACAAGAACAAGAAGAACAAGAACAAGAACAAGAACAAGCTCAAGAACAAGATCAAGATGAACAAGAACAAGAAGATTAAGTTCAAGATCAAGAACAAGAGCAAGAAGAACAAGAACAAGATCAAGAACAAGAACAAGAAGAACAAGAGCAAGAACAAGAACAACAAGAAGAAGAAGAAGAACAAGAGCAAGAACAAGAACACGAAGAACAAGAACAAGAAGAACAAGAACAAGCTCAAGAACAAGATCAAGATGAACAAGAACAAGAAGAACAAGATCAAGATCAAGAACAAGAGCAAGAAGAACAAGAACAAGATCAAGAACAAGAAGAACAAGAGGAAGAAGAAGAAGAAGAAGAAGAAGAAGAAGAAGAAAGAAGAAGAAGAAGAAGAAGAAGAAGAAGAAGAAGAAGAACAAGAAGAACAAGTAGAAGAAGACTGCGATAATAATAATAATAATAATAATAATAATAATAATAATAATAATAATAATAATAATAATACCACCTGCGGCTCATAAGACTGCCATCCCCACGAGCCCCTTTGAGGCGGGGTAGATGGCAGACCAGAGGCCTAGCTTCTCCCTACGAGCCCCGTGAGGGCGGGGTATGTGGCTAGGCCTGGGGACACTTGGTCCCAAAGATGAGGAGGTACTTGTACCTCTTCCCATGGGAGACTTAAGTCTCGGGATACTCCCCAGATAGGGAACCAAGGCCGGGTCACCACTACTTGGAAAAGACCCGGGCCGGGAGAATACCGGTGAATAAAAAAAAAATAATGATAATAATAATGCCAATAATTTAAGACAAATAAATAGCTATATAATAAATAATAATTCTTTTTATTGTGATCTGTGTTGTCGTTATATTAGTAATTTGATTATAATATTATCAGGATTAACAGATGTATAGATATACACAGAGGTGTATGTCTCTCGGTATATATATACACAGAGGTGTATGTCTCTCGGTATATATATATACACTGAGAGGTGTATGTCTCTCGGTAATATATAAAACATGAGAGGTGTATGTCTCTCGGTATATATATACACTGGGTGTTATG